AAATAAAAAAAAAAAAAAAAAAGTTCTAAGACAAACAGGTGGAATTTAAAATATATTATTTACATGACTGAACCAAGAACCCTTTATATAAGAAAAAAAAGGACAACTCTGATGATTATAAGACCACAGAGAAAAAAAATTATAGTATCTCCAGGATCAAAAATGAGACACTGCAGTTAATTCCCTGATGGCTCTGTCACACTCCTGTGCTCCCCTAGGCCACAGTGACTCCTTTACTTAGATTATGCTACACACATGGAAATGCAAAACTGATTTCTGTTTGATCAAGAATTTAGTCTATTGGGCTGGAGAGGAGAGCTCAGTGGTTAAAAGTACTGGCTGCTCTTGCAGAGGACCAAGTTTGAGTCCTGTCACCCACATATCAGCCAATAACCGTCCATATCTCCAAGTTCCAGGGGATCCAATGTTCTCTTCTGACCTCTGTGGGAATTGCATGACACAGGTGCACTTACCTACATGCAGGCAATACACGCATATATATAAAATAAAAATAATAAAAAGAGGTCGTGTAGCTAACAATGAGCAAACTTGCCTGTAATACAAGGTTTATGTGTGTAGCTGGCCATTTGATTTGGGGAGAAGGAGGTGTGCTGACTGGGAAATTGGGATCTGCCACACAAGCTGTGGTGGAGGAGTTAGTCTTCTCTTCCTGTATTTGTAAGTGTAAGTTGTGCAGGGGTGGCTCAGTGGGTAAAGCACTTGCAGTGCAAGTGAGAGGACCTGAGTTTGAATCCCTGCACCTCTGTGAGGCAGGTGCAATAGCATGTACCTGTAATCCCAGCAGGCCTATAGCGAGGAGGGAGGCAGACAGGAGAATCTCCTGGAAGCTCTTGGCCAGCAATCCTGGAGTACACAAGGCAGCAGCAGAAACAGGAGCCATCTGCCTCAAATAAGGTGACTGGCAAAAATTGACACCCAGGGTTGTCCTCTGACCTCCATGCATGTGCTGTGTCATGTGTATGTCCCCACGTACAGGCACACTACCCAGGGTTGTCCTCTGACCTCCATGCATGTGCTGTGTCATGTGTATGTCCCCACGTACGAGAGAGAGAGAGAGAGAGAGAGAGAGAGAGAGAGAGAGAGAGGCAAGAGATGAGAGGAGAGGGGCTGGGGGACAGGAAGGAGCAGTCGCCTGAAAGTTTCAGAGGAATTAGAATTTCAAAAGACTTAGAGAAGCTTCCTTTATCCTGGATTATAACGGGTTCTGAGCACAGGTGGTGTGAAGACTGACACATTTGGAGGCAGTGGGAGAGCCCACAGATTGAATCTCTCACCTCCACTCACTCTCTGTGTGACACTGTACAAGTTACTTATGTCTATGTTATGGGGTTAATGGGAAGATAAAAATGGATAACTGGAAAGCTCTTGTATAGTGCTTGATGCCCGCCAGCTACTCAATAAAAGGTATTGGTTGCTTCATTTTAAAGATGAGCTGCTTGACTGCATTGTGGATTAGCACCCATGACCTCCGAGTCCCCGTTAAGCTCTGAGAATCTAACCTAACATGATCGAAAGTGAAAAGATCCCGGCTGGAAATCAGAGGTTCTCTGCTTTTTGTCCTATCTATAAAGGAGAGCAGAGTGGAGCTTTAGCTTCTGGTGGCAGCGACTGGAAAGGAAAACTGGGGCCATAGGGGGGGGGGGGGGGGGGGGGGGGGGGGGGGAATAGGGCGCCACCTAGTGGTGGTTCTTCTTCATAGCTCATGGCCTCGAAGAATGCCACCAGGGACGCCTGGGGAACCTCTGCAGGGTCCCAAGATTTACAACCCAACCAGTGCTTGTCATTTTTATGGATGTGCACTTTGCAATCTCGCTCATTTATTTATTGGCGGTCGGGGTGGGGATGCCACAGAGCATACGTAGAGGTCGGTTCTCTTTTTCCACCATGTGGGTCCCGGGGCTTGAACTTAGATATTTAGGCTTGGTGGCAGGTGCCTTTACTCAGTGAACCATCTCACCGGGCCCAGCACTAATTTACAGAGAAAGAAGCAGGTCGAGAGAGGCAATCTACCCAAGGTCTGTGGGCAAAGGCATTGCATTGCTGGGCATGGTGGCGCACGCCTTTAATCCCAGTACTTGGGAGGCAGAGGCAAGGCGGATCTTTGTGAGTTCGAGGCCAGCTTGGCCTACATAGTGAGTTCCAGGACAGCTGGGGCTACAAGGAGACTCTCTCAAAAAAACAAAAAAAAAAAAAAAAAAAAAAAAAAAAAAAAAGAGCTTTTAACCACTGTGCTGTGTTAAAAAAGATGAACCAGGAAGAGCCAAGAGAAGGCAGCAGCTGCCGGCTGCTTCCATAAAGCTCAACCGGACTCACCAGTGTGGGTTCTGCGGGCCCCACTGTCACAATCACTGTTTCCGGGTCGAATCCTGGTGCCGTGGCAGTGACAGTGTATGTACCCGGAAGCAGCAGTCGGAAGTAATCCCCATATTCACCTACAAGTTAGAAGGATGTAACTCAGTCAGCTGATTTAAAAACCGCCCCAGACAGAACCTTCATAGAAAGGTGTCCTAGTTTGTTCTTTATTGCTGTGACAAAATACTCTGACCAGTACCAACTTGGGGAGGAAAGGGTTTGTCTTACATCTCCCAGGTCGCAGTTCATCAGGGAGCCCAAGGTAGGAACTCAGGGTAGGAACCTGGAGGCAGGAGCTGGAGCACAGGCCATGGAGGAATGCTGCTTACTGGCTTGCTCCCTTGGCCCCTGCTCAGCCTGCTTTCTTATGCAACACAGGCCCACCCGCCCAGGGCCCACCCACAGTGGGCTGGGCCCGCCCACATCACTCATCAAGAAGATGCCCTTCAGACATGGCCACAGGCCAGTCCAATAGAGGCAATTCCCCGATTGAGGCTCCCTCAACCCAGGTGTGTCAAGTTGACACTAAAGCTATCCAGCACAGAAGGTGATCTGGGGTTTGAGCTGCCCAGAAGCTTGGTTTTCTTAGCAGCAGGATGAAACCGGTAAACAGCTGAACTGTTTAGAAGGACACTGGTAGGAAGTTTCACTGCATTCTGCCTCAAAGTACTGTTTCATTCTAGATCCTGTGTTTTAATGTAAACTCGTGTCCAGTAAAAAGGTCGCTAAAAAGAGAAAAGATCAAAACATTTGTTAGTGCACCCGTGTTGTGCAATGCCAGCGGAAGACAGAAGAAACCATCAGATCCCCTGGAACTGGAGTTATGGACAGTTGTTAGCTGCCATGTGGGTGCTGGTATTTGAATCCGGGTCTTCTGCAAGAACAACCAGTGTTCTTAACTGCTGAGCCATCTCTCCAACCCCTTTATTTTTAATTTTTAAAGTTTATAGCTTACATATTTTATCTTGAACAAATTTACAGTAAGGGCTGAAGGCATGGCTCAGGGGTTAAGAGCATCTGGTGCTCTTGCAGAAGACCTAGGTTCAGTTCCCAGCACCCACATGGCAGCTAACAACTGTCCATAACTCCAGTTCCAGGGGATCTAACGCCCTCTTCTGGCCCCCATGGGCATTGCATGACATGGGTTCACTTATGTACATGCATGCAATACACTCATACACATACAATAAAAATAATAAATGCTTTTAAAAACCAGAAATAAAAAAAAACCAAAAAAGGACTATTATACGAAACTGTAAGAACTCAAGAAGTTGAATCAGGGCCCAGGAAAAACTACACAGTTGAGTGGTGCACAACCTGTACTAACAGTCAGTCGACTGGCTGAACAACCAGCAGTCAGGAGTGATGTACACATGAGAGTCAGACAATTGCTGAAGGTCTGATTTAAAAATCTTATTTTCTCTTTTCTCCTTGTCCTTTGCCCCTTCCTACTCCTTCTTTTGAGGTAAAAGGGTCTAGTGAGGCTGACCTCAAGCTCACTATGTAGACATGCTGGCCTCAAACTCGTGATCCTCCTGCTTCAGCCCCATGGAGTGCTGGGATTAGAGGTGTGTGTTACCATGCCCAGCCAGAGAATCTTATTTTTAGTATTTCTTTTTTTAAAAAAATTTTGAGAAGGGGTCTTCTATAACTCATACTGGCCTCAAACTAATTATGCTGCTGAGAATGGCCTCAAACTCATGCTCCTCCTGCCCTGAACCTGCTTCCCAATTCTGGGATTACAGGTGCGTGCCACCATGCCAAATTTATATGGTGCTGGGACTGAACTCAGAGCTTCCTGTATGCTAGGTAGGCAGTTTGTCAACTAAGTCATGCCTCTAACCCTTACTTTTAACATTTTTTTCCTGTCATCTTCAAAGAGGGGCTGGAGAGATGGCTCAGCAGTTAAGAGCAGTGACTGCTCTTGCAGAGGACCTGGGTTTGATTCCCAGCACCCACATCGTGGCTATGAACCGCCCTTAACTCTAGTTCCAGGGGAATCTGAAGCCCTCTTCTGACCTCCACAGCATTGCACAACACGGGTGCATTTACATACATGCAGGCAACACACTCATACACATTAAGGAAAAAAACTACTTTTGTTTAATGTGTATGAGTGTTTGGTCTGCATGTACATATGGGCATCATGTGTTTGCAGTGCCTGTATAGGCCATAAGAGGGCATCAGATCCCCAGAAACTGGCACCATCTCGCAAGGCTCTGACATGGTTAATTCATTTAAAAATTTAAAAAAATCTATTGAGAATTTCACATGCACACAAGGGGTTCCAATCAAATTTCATACAATATATTTTAATTGTATTTAGATCCTCTCCCCATCTGCAACCCTGTACTGCCCCCACCCAATTTCAATTTCATGTACTCTAATGTGTGTGTGTGTGTGTGTGTGTGTGTGTATGAAGGCCTATTGAGTCTAATTTGTGCCCCCAAAAGTTCTTCAGTGTGGGTTCATTCACTGGAGCATGGTCAACTTATGAGTCTCGTCCTTAAACGAGACTAACTCTCCCCCACCCAGCAGCCATATTTCCTCAGGAAAGGTTGGGGTTTCTTATCTACTTCTCTAATATTTATGCTGGGATTTTTTCTGGCTTCATCTTATGTTGGACTTGTGCATGTGACTAATGAGTTTTCATTCCTTTATAATCAATTGTGAGAATGTCTTTGATAAAAAAATTTTCCTTTAGAAGCTGGGCATGGTGGGTTCAGCAGGAGAATTGGGAATTCAAGACCAACCTTGGCTACATGGTGAATTTGAGAGAGAGAGAGAGAGAGAGAGAGAGAGAGAGAGAGAGAGAGAGAGAGAAAGAAAGACTGTCCAAAATGGTTCAGTGGGTAGGGACACTTGCCAACAAGCCTGACAACCTGAGTTTGATACCATGAATCCATGGTTCACCATGGCACAAATGTGCCATATAAATACACACAAAATAAACAAATATTTAACAAAATCTTTAGATGTGCCATAATGAATACTAGAAATAATAAATGCAATAAGGAATGATTCAGGCAATAAATAGAGAGGACATCTTTTTTTCTGTCACTTATTAAATATCTGCAATTTACTTCTGTCTTCCCTCCCTCCCTTCTTCCACCCATCTCTCCCTCTCCTCCTCCTCTTTCTTCTTTAGGCAGGATCTCTTGTATTCTAGGCTATTCTCAAACTCATTATGTAGTTGAGGATGACCTTGAATGATTGCTGGGATTATAGAGGTATGCCATCATGCCTACTTGATGCAGTTCTGGGGATGGAACCCAGGGCTTGTCATGCTATGCAAGCACGCTACCACTGAACTTCATTCCCAGCCCCTTAACTGACTTTAAAATACCTTATCAGTACAATGTGTTATTATGCATATGTTGAACAGTTTAGGTCATTTCCAGGGAATGTCATCATTGTCTTAACTGTGGACTCACACTCTGGAGTGATTAGCAAATGTGTCACAAAAGCTCCACTCTGGATGTTGCTTCAAAGAGGGCTTTGGCTGTCTCCCTTTGTAAAACAATAGATGTTCTGCTAAATAGCACAGTCAATATCACTAATGAAAGGAGTGATTTCTAATTTAGCATCATAGGGGGCTGGAGAGATGGCTCAGCAGCTAAGAGCACTGGCTGTTCTTGCAGAAGATCTGGGTTCAATTCCCAGCATCCACACAGCAGCTAACAACCGTCCATAATTCTAGTTCCAGGGGATCCAACACCCTCTTCTGGCTTCTGCAAGCCCTGCATGACATGGGTGCACTTATATGTAAGCATAGCACTCATACACATAAAATAACAATCAATCAATCAATCAATCAATCAATCAATAAAAATCTAATTTATCATCATGGGGGTCAGAAATGGGACCTAGTAGTTTTCATTCTTAGTTGCTCTAGCATTTTAGAGGGAAAGGCAATATTCTTTTTTCCAATAATTCTTCATTGAATTTTTGTGATTTTGATATTTAGATCCCCTCCCCTTACCAACTCCACCCAAATTAATGTATTTTTTTTGTAATCATATATATATATATAAAATCTCTATATAAAATCCTATAGAGTCTAATTAGTGTTCCCTAATGTCCTTCAGTGTGGGTCCATCCACTCAGGTTTTGTGGGACTTGTGCATGCTGTCACCATTGCTGTGAGTTTACCAGTTATCTGGAAAACTATTTCCTGTGGTCATCCACCACCTCTGTCTCTTATAATCTTTCCTCCCTCTCTTCTGAATGAGCCTTAGGGAACAGAAGTTTGTTATAGGTTTCTTATTCAGGGAAAAGCACTCTTCAGCCTCTGGTTCTCTGTACGTTGGCCAGTTGTGGGTTTCTCTGTTAATCACCATCTACTGTATAAGAAAGCTTCTCTGGTGAGAGGTAAGAGATGCATTAATCTATGGGTATAACAGTAAGTCATTAGGAGTCAATTTAATACTATATCTATTTAGCAGAAGACTAGTATTAGATTTTCCTGTATGTCCTGTGACTTGTCCAGATTCAGGTTCCTAGGTCTAATATCAATGCATCTTCTGCATAAGAATACTTCTCTGGTGAGACCTGAGAGATGTATTAATTATGGGTATAACAGTAAGTCATTAGGAATCAGTTTAATACTATATCTGTTTAACATAATAATAATATTAGGCTTTCTCTTATGGCCATTGACCTATCTACCTTCATGTTCCTAGGCCTGCTTCAATGTCAGGTCTGGGCTCCCATTTTAGGAAGCAGACCTTAAATCCAATTAGAAAGTGATTGGTTACTCCCATAATATTTGTGCCACGCTTGCATCAGTGGGCATATCTTGCCAGGCTAGATTGTTGTAGCTGATTAATTTTCACTCCAGGGAGCATGCATAGCACCTTCCAGCACTATAAAAGCTAGCCAGTAGAGATGAGGCTTTGAATTCAGCACCAGCTTGATTTCTTTCTCCTTGTTTGTTCTACACCTTGTGTGTGTAGTATCTTCAGTAATAGGGTCTTACCATGAAGTTCTGGTGGGTAACCAAGAGCAGGGGCAATGACCAGTATTGTTTGAGGGCCTATGGGAACCCTGGTCACCTGGTCAACAGCTTCAAGAAAGGGAGTCCATTCCTGGCATTGGATTTTTACTTTGCTAGCTTATGGTATCTTATTGGCTTACACACTAAACCCTGGTTCTGATGATGGAGATGAGGACCAGAAGCTCCCTTCCTACCTGAAGTGACATCGTGATTGATCCCAGTGACAGAAACCACAGCTCCAGGGAGGTTGTTAGAATTCTCATCACGCACCATTCCCTTAATACCCTGGTGAACCTGTGGGAGACAGTGGCCAGCTGAGAGTTAGGATCATCGAACAGCTGTACAGGGTCTGAAGGGCTTTGGCTTTCCTCACAGGCTTTCACAGTGGATCTTCACTAACACTGTGGTGGCAGCTCTTCACCACTCCCCTAACCCATGATCTCTTCTCCACAGGACAGTCCTGTTAAAGACTCAGATCGTGCCACAGTCCTTTCTAAAGCCCAACTCAGCAAAGTCTTAGGTTTCCATGCTGGTCTGTAAAGCTGTGGGCACTACCAGCAACCTGACCTGATCTTGTAACCCCTCTGCCTCCTTCCTGAGATCTCCTGTGATTCCAGACATGCTGCTGGTCTAATCTTGAATTCCGTTCTAATTAAAACATTTTTAAATTGTGATAAGGCCTGGTAAGATGGTTCAGTGGGTAAAGGAACTTGCAGCCAAGTCTGATGACTGGAGTTTGATCCCCAGGACCCACATGGTAGAAGGAGAGAACCAACTCTCACAAATTGTCTTCTGCTTCCACTCAATGGGTGCACACCTCCCCCCATACAAATAACTAAATAAATGTAATGAAAAATAAAATTGTGATAAAGCACGTATATTGTAAAATGTACATCTTAGTTTTAAGTGCATAGCCCACTATTATTAAACACATTTGCAGCACATACTTAGCATTATAACCTGTCTCTGGAATTCTCCTCATCTGATGAAACCAAAACTGCTCTCCAGTAACTCTGCATCCCTCCCACTCCCCACCTCCTGCTCTTCCAGCCCCAGTCATTGTTTTGTATTCTGTCACTAGGATTTTGATAACTCTGGAATCTTGTCCACAAATGGAGTCACAAATATTTGTGTGATTGGTTTATTTCACTCAGCATGTTATCTCAAGGTTTATCCATGTTGAGGCTTGTGCCAGATTGACTAATATTCACACACACACACACACACACACACACACACACACACACGGATCTGATATGTATCTGATTCCAATTCTTTGAGCTATATAAGTGCTGGATAATGTGATCTTTTTTTTTTTTTTTT